CCGCACACCCACACCCACACCCACACCCACACCCACACCCACACCCACACCCACACCCACACCCACACCCACACCCACATCCTGTTCTTTAATATTGATCAGTGATGACAGATTGGTTACATAGGTGTGCGTGACCATTGAGCAGCTTCCTAGAATTATTTCCTTCGTTCGATTTCACAAGAAAAGAATAAAAAAAAGTTGCAATATTATTTGTTACTGCTATCTCCAATATCCATATTCTATCAATCATCATCTAATCAATGATGAAGAAGAGAAACGAACTTGGTGTCTGCTTCGTTACACATTAAATTTTGATATCTTTAATTCATTTATTAATAGTTATTTTTCATTTTGTTATTCTTTCTCACGTAAGATTATATGAGCTGCTGGTACCATGGTCTGAATTGCAAAGAAGCAAAAGAAAACAAGTAAAGAGAACATCTGAAAGAAGCATTTTATCGCCATAAACATCATATTATTTTTTGGCTTGCTTGTTTATTTTATCTTTGTCTCATTTATTAATTTTCTTCTCGTTTGGATGTATGAAATCAGCAAGAGAGTCAATACTGTTTTGATCAGCTATTTCCGACTGATTCTGTCTCCACAGACCATTTTGCTTTTATTTCATCGAAAACATATAGACAGAAATTTAGTGCAATCCTTATGTAAACTGGACAGATTTTAAACACCACGTACGTCATGAACAACTCAGGACGCATAAACTTGCGTCAACAGATTTGTTTCGATCATGATCGCTTATATTGTCAGCTCTTTTTCGTTGAAGAAAATGCTTTTTAATATCGAATATTTAATGATGTAATTAAATGATTGAAAATACAAGAAAACTGACTGATAGAATATAAAGATTTGTGATTAGATGCTGAAAGGGGTCTTGAAGCTACGTCAAATCCAAAGAAGCTCATTGAAAAATACATTAATAGTGTCTGTACGTATGTGGATGTAAACGCAGGTGTTGATTTTTACCTTCATTACATCCACGCTCACAAATATGTACTGATGGAAAAATTTGTTTGCAGAATCTTAATGAGTTTATGTAAAGGGCGTTTGCATGAATAAAAAGCGCTTTAAAATAAATCAACTTGAATTGTTTATGAATTCGAAAGTTGAGCGACCTCGGCTGCTGCAAGTTCACGCGCATATACTCGAAATTCATCCAATGATCCTTGATACTGACCAACAACTACCGCATCATGCTGGCATATGTTTGTGCCACCCAAAGAACTTCCAAGTGTGACTGACATGGGGACACCACCGGCAACAAAATCAAATGCTGCCGTCGAGGAACCATACTGAGTGCCGTTTATATACAATCGCTGTCCATTGTTTGACAAATACGTTACTGCAACATGGGTCCATGCGAGAAGCGGGACAGAAGGTTCTATAATAGAGACAATGCCTTCACCCCAACAATTGATAGATACATGACCCGATGAAGTGAAACTAGGCATGTACCGAGCTTTTTTCATTACTTTCGAAAACTTTTATATTAACATCTTGAGCTCTGAAATGAAAGACTGAATCATGAGGTCTAACCTATCAAAAGATAGACTAAACATCGTTCTACAAAATGAGACATATCTAAGCTCTGTGCAACAACGCCTTCAGTTTTTATAGGAATTTTACAAACCGAGCCCGACCGAGCCTAGGCTCGGGGCTCGGGCTCGGTCAGGCTCGGTCCGGGTCTGTTTGTAAAATTCTTATAAAAACTAAAGGCGTTGTTGCACAGGGCTTGGGTATGTCTCATTTTGTAGAGCAATGTTTGGTCTATCTTTTGATAAGTTGGGCCTCATGATTCAGCTTTTCACTTAAGAGCTGAAGGTTTTGAACTAAAAGTGTTTAAAAGTAACGAAAAAAAGCTCGGTACATGCCTAAGTGAAACCCATAACCGGTAAACACCATGAAAAGGTAGGCGTGGTTGGAGATATTTCAATGCTTAAATATATAATTGTTCCAAAAGAATTTATTTTTGGATAGATCCAAATTGCAAAAGTATAGGGCCAATCATTTATGCCTAGACGTCTTAAACCAGTTATTTGAACATAAGATGATGTACCTGACAAAGTAAGACATTGATTAACTCGACCTGAAGATGTGAATGAGTAATTCATTCCTGTCCCATTTATCAACAAAGGGCCAGAATCAAGAAGATTATTGTTGTCAAAGGAAAGATATGCAACATTGGTAGCATCATCCAAAACTTCAGTTGCTTTTTTCGCTTGGGCAAAGTAAGCCATGGAATCAAGGCAGCCATCAAAGATGTTATTCTGTACATTGATACCACTGGCACCAACAGTCAAAGAACTACAGAGAACATAATGCATTTGTTTCAAATCTTGCTACAACCCAATATTCCAGTAGAAAAGAAATTCAACTAACACTTATCCAACATCTTGGCATGTACTTGCAATGACTGCAGATATCTGTCGATAAAAATAGAATGACAGGTATTTATTAGCGACATAAATAATCTTTGATATATGAATCGAGATATCTATGAGAAGACGATGCACACACACACACACTACATTGTAATTCGATAGAAATTACAACGAAATCATCTCAAAAACTTTGACTTTGCTTGCAAAACGAAGAGTTAGAAAGATTAATATTCTTTACATGTCCAACAGAAATAAAAACTATTATAAATTCCTGAAATCTTTTCTATTTATGGTAAAATGGGAAAAGTGTTAGAAAAGAAGTAGG